GTGTCTGTATGTGCGTGTGTGTCTGTATGTGCGTGTGTGTCTGTACGTGTGTGTATGTCTGTATGTACGTGTGTGTGTCTGTATGTGCGTGTGTGTCTGTATGTACGTGTGTGTCTGTATGTACGTGTGTATGTGTCTGTATGTACGTGTGCATGTGTCTGTATGTATATGTGTGTGTCTGTATGTACGTGTGTGTGTCTGTATGTACGTGTGTGTCTGTATGTACGTGTGCATGTGTCTGTATGTACGTGTGTGTGTCTGTATGTACGTGTGTGTGTGTCTGAATGTACGTGTGTATGTGTCTATGTATGCGTGTGTGTCTGTATGTACGTGTGTGTCTGTATGTACGTGTGTGTCTGTATGTACGTGTGTGTGTCTGTATGTACGTGTGTGTATGTATGCGTGTGTACGTGTCTGTATGTACGTGTGTGTATGTATGCGTGTGTGTCTGTATGTATGCGTGTGTACGTGTCTGTATGTACGTGTGTGTGTGTATGTACGTGTGTGTCTGTATGTACGTGTGTGTGTCTGTATGTATGTACGTGTGTGCGTGTGTGTGTGTATGTGCGTGTGTGTCTGTATGTATGCGTGTGTATGTGTCTGTATGTAGGCGTGTGTGTGTGTATGTATGCGTGTGTGTCTGTATGTGTGTGTGTGTCTGTATGTACGTGTGTGTCTGTATGTACGTGTGTGTGTCTGTATGTATGCGCGTCTAACGTACATTGTACGGCCTTTTTGTCAACCCACTGCTGGATGAGGGCCTCCACCCCCCCCCCCCCCCTCCAAGTCTGTGGTTTATGACCATACTTCACCACTCTGGTCAGTACGGTTTGGCTAACGCGAGGACCATAGCAGTACAGTACAGCAGCATGCTGTATACAGTACACAAGTCTGTGTGTGCGTGGTGCAAGTCGATTACTATGCACGTACTGTATACGACTGCTTATGTAAGTCTATAAATGTGTGTCTATAACTGTGTGTGTAAGTGTGTGACTGTGTGTGTGTCTATGTAAGTCTGTGACTGTGTGTGTGTCTATGTAAGTCTATAACTGTGTGTGTAAGTGTGTGACTGTGTGTGTGTGTCTATGTAAGTCTATGACTGTGTGTGTGTCTATGTAAGTCTGTGACTGTGTGTGTGTCTATGTAAGTCTGTGACTGTGTGTGTGTCTATGTAAGTCTGTGACTGTGTGTGTGTCTATGTAAGTCTATGACTGTGTGTTGTGTCTATGTAAGTCTGTGACTGTGTAAGTGTGTGACTGTGTGTGTGTCTATGTAAGTCTGTGACTGTGGGTGTGTCTATGTAAGTCTGTGACTGTGTGTGTCTATGTAAGTCTATGACTGTGTGTGTGTCTATGTAAGTCTGTGACCGTGTGTGTGACTGTGTGTGTGTCTATGTAAGTCTGTGACTGTGTGTGTGTCTATGTAAGTCTATAACTGTGTGTGTCTATGTAAGTCTATAAATGTGTGTGTAAGTCTGTGCCTGTGTGTCTATGTAAGTCTATGACTGTGTGTGTAAGTCTGTGACTGTGTGTGTCTATGTAAGTCTATAAATGTGTGTGTGTCTATGTAAGTATATGACTGTGTGTGTGTCTATGCAAGTCTGTGACTGTGTGTGTGTCTATGTAAGTCTATAAATGTGTGTGTGTCTATGTAAGTATATGACTGTGTGTGTGTCTATGCAAGTCTGTGACTGTGTGTGTGTCTATGTAAGTCTGTGACTGTGCGTCTATGTAAGTTTAGTGGGGAGCGGTGGTGCAGCGGTTAGCGCTACGCTGCACTACGAACCCGGCGATCCGGGGTTGATTCCCGCTCACGGCCAACACCGCCAGTGACGATTATCTGAACCGGTACCGGGCCTCCCCTAGGTCGACTCAGCCTCAAATGAGTACCCGGTTCGGTGTGTAAACATCGCCACTGGAGAGACAAAGGCGGCCGGGCGTGGTGTTGGCCACCCACCCCCTCGTGTGCCACAGTGCCGGCCTCTATAGGTGCTCGCTGACAGCACTTGCCCCAGCAGTCTGTGAAGGCTACACGGGGGATCTTTGTCTTTGTGCGCGCGGGTCTACGCGTTTCACGTGTGCGTCCACGTGTCTCTCTACGTGTGTGTGTTGCGGTGTGTGTCTGTATGTATGATGTGTGTGTCTGTATGATGTGTGTGTGTGTTGCGGTGTGATGTGTGTCTGTCTGTATGATGTGTGTGTGTTGCGGTATGATGTGTGTGTGTATTGTCTATTATGCGTGTGTCTGTATGTATGTGTCTGTCTGTATTATGTTTCTGTATGTCTGTATGATGTGTCTGTATGTCTGTATGATGTGTCTGTATGTCTGTATGATGTCTCTGTATGTCTGTATGATGTGTCTGTATGTCTGTATGATGTCTGTCTGTATGTATGATGTGTCTGTATGTATGTATGATGTGTGTATGTATGATGTGTGTGTCTGTGTGTGTGTCTGCAGGCACCCACCTCGTCCGCACAGCTTTGCTCTCTCTACGGCCTCTCCCTCTCACCCTCTTCCCGCCGTCTTCTTCTTATTACAGCAACAACAATACTACTAATGATAGACGCCTTCACACACAACCTCCCCCACCACCGCCACCCACCCACCCACACCCCACTGATGAATGAGAAACGTCTCTCTCTCTCTCTGCAGCCGCAGGCCGCTTACCCCGCCAGCTGTGAGCAGCTGCAGCAGATACAACACCTACAGCAGCTACAGCTACACCTGCAGCTACCACGGGCAGCAGCAGCAGCCCGAATGAGGCGCAGCAGCCGCCCGCCTCCCCCTCTTTATTGCGGCTCCTGCGCGTGACGCGAGAGGCTCTCGACTCGCTGTGGGCGGCGACCAGGAGCCCAACCCGGGGGGGGGCATCTGTCCCCACCCACCCATCACCCCACCCCCTCACCCCCCCCCCACCCATCACCCCCCCCACCCATCACCCCCCCCCACCCCCTCACCCCCACACCCATCACCCCCACCCACCATCACCCCCCCCCACCCCCTCACCCCCCACACCCATCCCCCCACCCCCTCACCCCCCACCTCCTCACCCCCCCACCCCCTCACCCCCCCCACCCATCACCCCCCCACCCCTCACCCCCACCACCCCCTCACCCCCCCCCACCCATCACCCCCCCCCCCACCCATCACCCCACCACACCCCCCTCACCCCCCCTCACCCCCCACACCATCACCCCCCCACCCATCACCCCCCCCCCACCCCCTCACCCCCCCCACCCCCTCACCCCCCTCACCCATCACCCCCCCATCCCCTCACCCCCGCCACCCATCACCCCACCACACCCCCTCACCCCCCGCACCCCCTCACCCCCCCACCCATCACCACACCCCCCCCACCCCCTCACCCCCCCCACCCATCACCCCCCCCCCCCCCTCACCCCCCCCACCCCCTCACCCCCCACCCATCACCCCCCCCATCCCCTCACCCCCCCCACCCATCACCCCACCACACCCCCTCACCCCCCTCACCCCCTCACCCCCCACCCATCACCCCCCCACCCTCACCCCCCCCATCCCCTCACCCCCCCCACCCTCACCCCCCCCACCCCCTCAACCCCCCACACCCATCACCCCCCCCACCCATCACCCCCCCCACCCCTCACCCCCACACCCATCCCCCCCACCCATCACCCCCCCACACCCCCTCACCCCCCCACCCATCACCACCCCCCCACCCATCACCACCCCCCACCCTCACCCCCCCCCCCCCCTCACCCCCACACCATCACCCCCCCCACCCATCACCCCCCCCCACCCATCACCCCCCCCACCCAAATTCACCCCCCCCCCCAACCAGCACCCCCCCCCTCACCCCCTCCCCCTCACCCCCACAGCCCAGCACCACCACCCCGTCACCCCCCACCTCCTCACCCCCCCACACCCATCACACCCCCCACCCAACCATCACCCCCACACCCCACTCACCCCCCCACCCCCTCACCCCCCCGCCACCCATCACCCCCCCCCACTCCATCACCCCACCACACCCCTCACCCCCACTCAACCCCCCACCATCACCCCCCCACCCATCCACCCCCCCACCCCCCTCACCCCCCACACCCCCTCACTAACCCCTCACCCATCACCCCCCCCATCCCCTCACGCCCCCCCCCCACCCATCCACCCCCACCACACCCCTCACCCCCCTCAAACCCCCCTCACCCCCCCACCCATCACCCCCCCACCCCCTCACAACCCCCCACCCATCACCCCCCCTACCCCCTCACGCCCCCCCACTCCCATCACCCCCCCCACCCGTCAACCCCCCCCATCACCGCTCACGCCCCCCCCACCCATCACCCCACCACACCCCCTCACCCCCCCCCCTCCCCCCCTCCACCCCACCCCACCCATCACCCCCCCCCCACCCCTCCACCCCCCCCTCACCCCCCCACCCATCACCCCACACCCCCCCCACCACCCCACACCCATCACCCACCCACCCCCCTCCACCACCCCCTCACCCCCCACACCACCCCCCCCAACACCCCCTCACCCCCCACCCCATCACCCCCCCCCACCCCCTCACCCCCCCACCCATCACCCCCCCCCACCCCCTCACCCCCCCCCACCCCCTCACCCCCCCCACCCAATCACCCCCCCACCCCCCTCACCCCCCCCCACCCATCACCCCCCCACCCCCTCATCCCCCCCCCACCCCCTCACCCCCCCACCCCATCACCCCACCCATCCCCTCACCCCCCCACCCATCACCCCACCACACCCCTCCCCCCCCCTCACCCCGCTCACCCCCCCACCCATCCCCCCCCCACCACATCACCCCCCCCATCCCCTCACCCCCCCACCCATCACCCCACACCCCCCCCCCCACACCCCCCACACCCATCACCCCCACCCCCCTCACCACCCCCTCACCCCCCCCACACCACCCCCCACACCCCCTCACCCCCCACACCCCTCACCCCCCCACCCCGAGTCACGGGCGACGGCCTCCACTCAGCAGCAGCAGCGGCACCAACCTCCTCCTCCTGCTGCTTCCTTCTCCGCGTCAGACCCGAGCAGATGCTAAGCGCTCGTCCGAGCCGTCACCATCGCCGCCTTCACGGCGCCCGTGGCGTTAAACAGCAGCAACAGCAGAAGCAGCAACAGCAGCGGCAACAGCAGCGGCAGCAGCAGCGGCAACAGCAGCAGCAGCGGCGTCGTTGTCGTGGTCGTCGTGGTTATTATTCACGATCCAGGCGGCGCGTGGCGCTGTGGGGGCTGCGACCCTCGGTGGTGAATTCGTCTCCAACGGGCGAACTGGAAACTCGCGCGTGGCCCGGGGTCTACGTTGGCACTCACACGTGTACACACACACACGTGTACACACACACACGTGCGCACACGCGCGTGTGCACACACACACGCGCGTGTGCACACACACACGCGCGCGTGCACACACACACGCGCGCGTGCACACACACACGCGCGCGTGCACACACACACGCGCGCGTGTACACACACGCGCGCGTGTACGTACACGTGTGTGTGTGTGCACGCGCGTGTGCGTGTGTACACGTGCGTGTGTACACGTGCGTGTGTGTACACGTGTGTGTGTGTGCACGCGCGTGTGCGTGTGTACACGTGCGTGTGTACACGTGCGTGAGCGGTCGTTGCAGCGGGTTAGCGCGCTGCGCTACGGACCCGGGCGGCCCGAGTTCGATTCACGGTCAATACCGGTGACGATTATCTGAACCTGTTCCTGGGCCTCCCCTAGGTCGACTCGGCCTCAATGAGTACCTGGCACGGTGTGTAAACATCGCCAATAGAGAGACAAAGGCGGCCGGACGTGGTGCTGGTCACCCACCTTCTCTCGTGTCCCGTGCCGGCCTGCATAGGTGCTCACAAAGAGCACTTGCCCAAACACTCTGTTAAGGCTATACGGGGGATCTTTATCTTTCATAGCCAACAGTGGTCAACCCACTGCTGGATGAGCCCAATAAACATGGGACGTTGTAACCATTGGACCACGTTAACGACGAACGACTCCCCTCATCCACAACGTGCGCGGGCAGAGGGAAAGTTGCCGGGCTGGTTGGTGGACGATGGGACGAGTTCCAGGGCTGGGTGACTATGGGACGAGTTGCAGGGCTGGGTGACTATGGGACGAGTTGCAGGGTTGGTTGACGATGGGACGAGTTGCAGGGACGAATTGCCGTGAAGTTTTGCGCGCTGCATTGTGGGCCCGGTCACGGCTAACATCAGTGGCGAGTAATATCTGAACCCCACCCCGAACTCACCCCCTAAACAACCCGCACCGAGCCAGCAGCGTGAAGTACGGCCGAACTTTGCTGGTGACCTTCATCCAATCGTGGAATTTGGCAAATGTTTTCCAATTATATCATAAATTGGAATCAATATTCGATTGTCAATGGGTTAGAGAACGCGTGCAGGTGGTCTCAAGAAGGTTCACGTTGGGTAGAGAATCTACGTAACTTATATAGACATCATATTGACCTTCATCAATGGATTGGCAAAAAGGTCGTCTGTATAAGGTTACGAATTTCAGCGTGAGAGCGGTCACAAAGGGATAACAACACGCGACCCCGCAGAGGTGAATGTCACCCAACTTTCGCCTGCAAGGTCAACATTTTCCATGAGCAGCACACGAACACGTGATACGCAGGTACACACAATAAAGGTACGCACACAAAGGCGCACACGCCACAATTACACAATCAACAAGTAGTTGCCACTCACAAATCCGCCGCTATGAAGCCATCTGCGATCCAACAAACAAGGCCCCGTGCCAATTTAAATAAAATCAAGATCACCTGGCGAAGCGGGCAACGTTTTATTTTTATTTTTAAACCTGATAAAAGCATACGTCGCGTGTTTAACATTTTCGGGATTAAATTTGCCAGGGTAGAGAGAGGGCCCTCTGTAAAGTCTACTCGGAGAATATTATTTCGTGCCGTTGCAGTCGGTTTGTAAGGCAGTAAAGTATTAAAAAAATGTCCCGGACCAATGCATTACATACGTGACCTTTATTTCACCTTTGCGCGATGCCCTCCGATGTCTTCAACGACCTCGGTTTATGCAACCGAGGCTTTCGTTCCATTATTTCTCAAGGGACACCTGGAAATTTTTTGATTTCGCGGGACAAACGGGCGCTCTTGGCTACCGCCAACAGCAGCAGCAGCAGCAGGAGCCTTCGTCCATCGAGGAGATGGAGCGATTAAATCGCAGTACCGTGCGCTCGTACTAAACAGGATTCTTACATCAATGTTAATTAAGTAAATGGATTTTAGCATTTCTTAATTATTATGCCGAGTTTATGTTTTACCAGTTATGTTGATGCTGTTGCTGTGTTTTATACAGTTCATCGATGAACGCCCCTATTTAAATATACTTATTATAATTATAATCCCAGGGTCCTGAGAGATGGTGACGGCTCAGAGATGCCTTCTTTCATCCAGCAGTGGAATGAGCATGACTGATGTCGACGACGATAACTACATTGAACAATTAAACACATCTCATTGCCAGCCATTAATCTAGCTTCTGTTGGATCAAGGCTTCTCCAAGCCGTTTTCATCTCTCACGGGGCATGCAAACCAGCAACCCAAGTTCAACATATATACACATTGTTTAATCGTACATTAAGGGAAATCCATTTGTCCAATAACCAATTAAGGTATCAATTAACAGCTGTCCAATACAAATTGTCCACTCACGTCGGTCGTGGGAGTCGGTGCCCGAGGCCAATTATCGCATTAACGTGAACAAGTTGCACTCATTTTGATCCTAAGTGATAATTAACATTCTGCATCCTGCGTAAGAACTGTATGTAGCAAACTCGTGAAATGTCGCGCGCTATCGTTCGGGTCTGCAGGCGCACTCACAAAGTGCATCAAGTAGCGTTGGAGATGCGCTAGCTTGGAATGAGATCGAGGGACAGAGAGACGAGGAACCACGTGGGTTATTAGATTGCGCACTTTAATGGCATCGCTCAAACTGGGAATAGAAGTCAGTGGTGCTTGGGCATGACCCGTCACGACCGATGGTCGAGAGATAGTGACGGAGTGGCGGCCAAGGAATGGGACAGAAAGTCCACAGAGGAAGGGGGAGATGGAGCGATCAATTGAACTCGCGTGCAAGCTACTCTGGGTGGATGGTTAACGTCGCAGAGGCGTGAGACATGACCGACGGCTTGGAGAGGGCCTTCAACAACAACATCATTATCATCATCCAGCAGTGGATTGCGAAAAGGGCTGTTACAAAATGTAACAACTCTGGCGACCCGAGTTGGATTCCCGGCGCACGGGTACAATCAGTGGAGACTTGATATTCGTTAGAACCGGTGTACTCACAATGCCCCCCCCCCCCCCATCACTGGTCAGCGCGGCTGGAGTTTCGTCACAAACAGCCCCCATTCGCCACTAAGTGGCGGTGACGTCACCACGGCGCTTGTGCCAGGCCATGTGCACGTTGAGGCCAGTCTCGTCACACAACCCGCACGACCCGCACGGCGTGGGGAGGGGTTACCTTCACCCACCAGTGCCAACAGTCGTGTCAGTGGAGTGCCCTTGGCGAGGTGCTATTCACCCAGAGGGATTCATTTGTCACTGAAATTTGTTGTTGTTTCGGGTCGCTGGTAGACCGGGAGGTCTAGGATGCGACAACCGCAGCGAGGAGGTGTATACTGGATGTGGTGTGCAGGGTGCCCAACTAGGTTCCGGGTCGCATTCGCGGAAAGACCCGGCGAAATCTCCGTTCCTATAGAACTGGATGCTGTTGCTGTGATGTAATGCAATCCAGAAGTGGCCTGCTCAATCTCCCAGCGCGGCTCCACCTTTTAACCATCATGGGACCTCGTTTGCCAGTACCAAAATATGAGGTTTTCCCCTTTTTTATGGTAACAAAAAAGGTGTTAAGATTTCGATTTAAAGCTTTCGTGACTGCAGGGATTCATATTCTTGGTTCTTTCGGTGAAGTCACGTAGAAGGGAAATAATAAAATAATACAATCATTTTTGTTGTTTTATATTTGTATTATTTTATTATTCCCCTTCTACGTGACTTTACCGAAATAACCAAGAATATAGGTGTTAAGATGTTAAAACACCAAACTGAAACCTTTTACAAGGAATCATGTCTGCATTAACCACAATACATGTGGTCAGAATGCAAACAAATAAGTAATATTTAAAATGGTTTTTTTAAAACACGCTTTAATGAAATGTACCGTACGAATAATGGCAGAACTCCACGACTCCATGAAGTGGCCCCAAAGCTTGCCATAACGTAAGGGGCCATGGTGATTTACAGCCAACGTTAGTTGAGCGTGGACAATTAGACCCAAGCCGAAACATAATATATAAAAAATAATGTTTACAAATATTCTTTGTTTATTTTTTTATAGAATACAGTATTGTCATCAGTATGACATAAGTATACCAAGTTTGCAGTCGATACCACAAGATTTGAGGATACGACAACAACAGAGTTAAATAAAATCGTGTAATAATAAGTATAACCCGTAAAAACAAAGTTTTTCACTCTAAATCCTTTATATGCGTGGCGGCTAGAGTCCTCTCGTCCTCTGGCTTGAGATGGCTGCCACCTATGGGTCAGATGATTGTCTGCAGTATTAAACAATTGGTAATTAAATATTTAATTAGTTTTCCCTAAACAGTGTAAAATTTTGGAAAAAAAATTTCACGAACATTAATTGTCTCGCACAACGAGACTGTGTGCAAAATGTCAGCTCAATTGGATCACGGGAAGTGGGTTAAAAAACGACCGAAAGGTTTGCACGGTCGTAAGCAAGCAAGCAAGCACGCAAGCAAGCGAACTTAATATAAAGGATTTAAAAACATACTCTGATAATAGATGCATTGCCTTTGAAACTGATTGGTCCACACCAGAAACAGCCTTCTTTCGAGCCTAGTCTCAAACGGTATTAGACCAGAGGCTCGAAAGAAATCTGTCTCTGGTGTGGACTAATCAGTTTCAAAGACAATGCATATATTATCAGAGTATGTTTTTTGTTTGTAATCTGACCACAAGTATTGTGGTTACCGCAGACAAGATTCCTTGTAAAAGGTTTCAGTTTCGTTGCTTTAACAGATTAACACCTGTTTTGTTGGCAGAAAAAAGGGGAAAACCTATTATCACATTTTAACCACCCAGCAATATGAAATGGTTGCGTCAACAGCCCCCCCCCCCCACAGCTCGCTCTCGGGGGGGCTGGCTG